TAATAATAATAATAATAATAATAATAATAATAATAATAATAATAATAATAATAATAATAATAATAATAATAATATATCCATTTTTCTTAATATATAGCGTTCACCTCTCAGTGGTGTTTCAAATCCAACAAACTTTGTACATAATGTACACGTAGGGTTCGATCCTGTCAGTGGTTTGTTCACTGTAAGTTTCTTCCAATATTACTGATATTATGACTATTTCAAATAATTGAATAATTGAATAATTGACATACTCGCAATGAATTTATGTAGGGGATGCCAGAGCAATGGACCAAACTCCTTACATCATCAGCGATCACAAAAGAGGATTACGCAAAAAATCCTCAAGCTGTTTTAGATGTATTAGAGTTTTACACTGAAAATCAAAAACGAGAACAAGAAGCATATGGTCAACACGGCCTCTTAGGACCAATTGCCGGGTTTCCAAATGCTGATGATAAATGGGCCGACCTATTACCAAAAAATAATAATATGCCCCAGAAGAATCAATTATATCCTAGCCCTAATGATGGTTCTAATGGATATGATATGTCCAAGATATCACCGATAAATAATGTGGGTAGTAATGCAAACAATGTTAGAATAGACCCTGATTCTTCTAGACATAATAATGATTAATTATTTAGATTTATTAGATTTTTATTATTTTTATTTCACTTATATTCTATCCATCTTGTCGTGTGTCGTTGTTTACTTAATTTTTTTCATTTCGCTAGCAGCCGACAACTCCTCCTAATCGTCCTCCGATCACACCAAGACCTCCTAATACTTTAAGCTCAAATAATGCACGTACAATTCAAAATCAAAGTTCTATAACACAAATTTCTTCTAATGTAAATCCATTAAGACATTTATATTTTCTTAAAATTTTTAACAAATTTTATTTTATTTTATTTTTTTTTACTAACAGTACAATCAAGTTCAACAACAATCTGTTCCTGAAAAATATCAACAGTCGAATAATTATCAACAGCCCCCTCCATCATTAGCTCCAATGTCTCAACAATCTACAAATTATTCGCCCTCTTCACAACAACCGCAACAACAACGTCTTCCTAGTCCAAATCCTCCTAAACAGCAACAGCAACCCCAACAACCTGTTCAAGTACCTAAACAGCCACCACCTCCTGCCAAACAACAACAATCAACCCCAAAGAAACCTGCCCCTGAAAAAAGAATTAGCACAATGACTGAAGCTCAAATTATGGAAAAATTAAGATCCGTTGTTTCTCCTGGTGATCCTACAGCCTTGTACAGTAAAATAAGAAAAGTTGGTCAAGGGTATGCATTATTTATATCCTTCATTTTTGTTATTTTGACAAAAAAAAAAAAAATCTTTATTATGTCATTATGTTCTAAATCATCTTGGTTTTGTTATTTAACTAGTGCTTCTGGTTCCGTATACGTTGCCAAATCTCTCACATCCAATGCTAAGGTCGCCATAAAACAAATGGATCTTTCACATCAGCCACGAAAAGAACTAATTGTTAATGAAATTCTTGTGATGAAAGAATCCCAACATCCAAATATTGTCAATTATCTCGATTCATTCTTAGTAAAAAGCAATGAACTCTGGGTTGTTATGGAATATATGGAAGGTGGTGCGTTAACTGATGTTATTGATAATAATACCCTAGAGGAAGATCAAATTGCTGCAATATGCTTTGAGGTACAAAAAATTTATTATTTTTTTATTTTATTCATTTTTCTAAGTTTATTATTGTTTATATTTACGTATTTTTATATTTATGTTATAGACTTGTAAAGGTCTTCAGCATCTTCATGGTCAAAATATTATTCACCGTGATATTAAAAGTGATAACGTTCTATTGGATGCATTTGGCCATGTTAAAATAAGTATGTTAAATTTCTACTCAACTTCACACGCACATATATATTTGTTTATTGATTTTTATTTATTTATCCATTCAAATTTATATAAATTTATATAAATTTATCTTTTGTTTACTTATAGCCGATTTTGGATTCTGCGCTAAGTTAACGGACCAAAAGAACAAACGAGCGACAATGGTTGGTACACCATATTGGATGGCACCTGAAGTTGTAAAACAAAAAGAATATGGTGCCAAAGTTGATATTTGGTCTCTTGGTATCATGGCTATCGAAATGATTGAGAATGAGCCACCATATTTAGATGAAGAACCACTTAAAGCGTTGTATTTGATTGCCACAAATGGTACTCCCACTTTGAAAAAACCCGAGAAATTATCACGTGAATTAAAAAGTTTCCTTGCTGTCTGCCTTTGTGTAGATGTTAAGAGTAGAGCAACCTCATTGGAACTTTTAGAGGTTTGTAATCTTTAATTCTTTTTTATTCTTTAATTTCTTTTCATATATTAATTATATCGTGATCATTGATTAACGTATCTTTTGGATTTTCTTAGCATGACTTTCTTAAAAAAGCCTGTCCACTATCAGATCTTGCTCCTTTACTCAAATTTAAGACTGCTAAGGATGGCAGGTCGTGAAGCTTAATATTCTATTTAAATTCTTTTTTAGCTTTACATGATGTTATAGAAAATTCAATTATATTTATACACAAATTCTGGTTTTATGAGTCATACATAGGTTATTTCTCATTTCAATAATGGTGGCATAGATACTCTTATTTGGTAATTTTTTGATGGCTATTTAATCTTGATATTGATTTTGTGTACAGTACATTTCTTAGTACTTGATGCCGTACATCGTAGCAGGTAGATGGTGATGTTGTATATATTTTTATATACCTTTTGTTCATTACTGAAACCTTGGTCTTAAAAAAAGTTTTCTATTTATACAATATTTTATATAAATACAAATCCATTATTCATTTTATACATTATAAATATTATAATACTGCTTAATAGAAACTACAGTATCTAATAATAAAAAACTCCAAAATTATTTAAAATTTGTTTATTTTTTTTTCTTTTCTTTGTATACTTAATTAGGTTATATTGTTTAACTAATAAAATGAATCTCAAAATTATAAATAAAATATAAAAGTCCGATCTGATGAATAGTACACTGTAAATAGCTGGTCACCTTTCAAAGAAATACCATGCTAGGCTTTCCAAAAGACGCACTTCGTAATAATAAATTTTAATATACATGTGCTGCACACTCAATATATGCAATTTTTTAAAGTTTAATCAAATTTTAATTTTTAAACGGAAAGTAGCAAATTTTCTTTATTACATTATTATTTGTAAATTAACAATTCATTTGTTATTATGAAGTTACGTTATTGTAAATGTTATAGTTAACTTGATGAGAAATTATCTATGATCCACTGATTTTGGTCTGCACAGAATGACTTATTTTCACTCATATTGCTAAATAGTGTGTAGATTTTTTTGCTTTATGTGTTTTCCTGTATAAATGATTTATGGTAACCCCGGGGAGATGTTTCATAATCTTTTTATATACGCGACCTGTCGCTTTTTTCTTTGGAATTTTATAACGAGCCATAAGTTCATCGAACTTATTTTCATGTTCTTTTCCATATCTGAACCAATGAAGCATTTCTTCTTGATTACTATGTTTCGCATGAATTTCTGCATGGGTGACGTAGATTGACGTATGGCTTGAGTAACCTGCGGATAAAACGGGGTTGGGTCTATATTTGTGCCCAAGCAGAAAATGTTATTCCAATTATAAATAACAAATTTCATTATTAAAAAAAAAAAAAGAAAAAAATTCCAGTCATGATTTACAAGGGCATTGATCGCTTGTTTGTTTGTTTGAATGCGACTTTCTAGATTTGTTAACATTTGAATAATCTTGCTGTAAAATACAAAATAATAATTATTTTAGTGTGGTGTGTTTACTTTTTTATATGGTCGAAGGGACAATGTCACGTAACATAACGTAACATAACAGACTTCACCTACAAAATCTTAATGCAACTAGTCATGTGATTATTTCGATAGTAGCAAGAACAAACATAAGTAGTATCATACTTATGGATTCAACGATGGCGGCAGTGTTTCTTATTGGGGATTGTTGTTAGAAGATGGATCATGGATCATTATGATCGTCTTCAGAGGATGGACCATAATGATCATATCAT